GGCTGGTGGATTTGAACTACAGACCTTTTGGTTAGCAGCCTGAGTGCTTAACCACTGCGCCACCAGGGCACCAGCATGCAAGGTTAGGAGTCAGAAAATCTGTTTTACCGTAGGTGAGGCAGAGAGAATGCAGGCTTGTACTCCGATGGGCCTGCACTCAAATCCAGGCACTGAGACTTACTAGCTCTGTAACCTTGGGCCAGTCACCAAGCTTCTTTCAGCCCCAAACATGATAATACCTGCCTCCTAAAAAGCTTTCAACAGAATGTGCTCGGCATTCTTCAATAGGTAGGTTTTCTTATTTTCTGTTCTTACCAAGGAGTATTTGCGGTTAAGTCAACACACACAAAACAGTCTTACAGAACATCATCAGTCAGCCAGTTCATTTTAGAACAGCCAATTGTTTGAATTCAAACGGACATTAAAAAAAACTGGTTAGTATGCAGGCAAACCTTGTGCCTCTGACAAGTCAAAAAAGGAAATGATTATTTCATGCCAAATATCTCACAATATCTCTAAGGCGACAGGTATGCTAATACTTTTCAAGTACTTAGAACACCCTATTGCAAAATTAAAAAAATTCTACGTAATAGTACGAATGGGAATGAATTCTTGACATGAAGTTTGAATACTGGATATTCTAAACATGAGAAACATTAAGGAAAAAATACAATATTTTAAACTCGTTTTAATTACACCTACCATGTCTGCAGAAGAACTGAATAACTACTTCAGACTTATCAGATCTGGTGAATATTCTGCACTTCTCTACATTTCTTTCAAGGGAATTCAGACATCTAAAGATGGGCAGAAGTGACTGTAACACAAATACATTATAGAACAGCACATACTTAATATGGTTGTTTATTTAGTTTTTTAAAAATTAACAAAGCCCTGAGGTCACCTCATAGCTAAATAACAAACTGGCTGACAAAACAATGAATATTACCTGTAAGCACTGTGCTCCTTTAAAAAATCACCTGTATGCAACCAAGAAACAATTGCTTTAAAATAAAGATGAGAATGTAAGAGGGCAGGGAAACTAGATTAACAGAAATGGAACAACCAGAATGAAAATAATGAGAATGTTCATGCACTGTGAAGAATGTAATCAATGTCACTCAACAATTTGTGTAAACCTTCACCGAAAACAAAATAAAATATTATTTAAAAAAAAAGCTAACAAATGAAGAGTATGTGTATTCATCAATGAATAAACTTATCCTGTATGCCATTTAAACCAAGTATGGAATAGATGTTATGTATTATATAACAAATATTTCCACAATAAAAGAGAAAACCAAGGCTACTTCTATTCACCTTCATTGCCAACTGGCAATTTAAATTCCATGTGTCTTTATCATTCATTTCCACTGAAGATGACCATTGATAGAGTTGAAAAAACAAAGGAGAGAAGAGGACACATCCATATGCTGATCGACAAGAATTCACAGATCTTAAAGCAAGCTAGGAAAAAAATGAATTAATAGCTATTTAGAAGAAAATCAACTTTCTTTAAATGATAGTTTAATTCAAAACACCTCATTATGTTTAACATCACAGTCACCGGTTGCCACTGAGTCGATTCCAACTCATGGAGACCCCATGTGATTCAGAGTAGAACTGTGCCCCAACGGGTTTTCAATGGCTGATTTTTCAGAAGTAGACTGCCAGGCCTTTCTTCCCAGGCACCTCTGGGTGGACTTAAATCTCCAATCTTTCAGTTAGCAGCTGAGTTCGTTAACTGTTTGCACCACCCAGGGACTCTACATCACAATTAAAATCTCA